GTCAGAGAAGGTGACTGACTTGCTTTCCCAGTTTTAGCAGTGAAAACTCATCCTAGGAACCTCCCCAGTCCCAGGCCAAGTGGGCTGGCTGGTTCCCCGCTGTGAAAAATACCATATGTCCCTGGGATTCAGTGCCCAGCTCGCAGCTCTTTCCTCCTTAAGGAGGGATGGGAGGGAGGCATTCATTTGTAATGTTCCAGAGAGCAGCTTTTAAGTTAATTTTGGAAAATTAATAATTTCAATAGAGCTTCCCAGTTACAAGGAATTGAGTGTGAAGGATGGGCTTAAGGTTCTAGAAGGTTTCCATCCATTTGGGCGAGCTCTTGGTTTTTCCCTCAATGTAGTGTCTTGCCTGAGTGACCTCAAAACTAACCTCAGTAGCTGTTCCCTACGAGCCCGTGACCCATGGAGAGAGTTTTCCATCTTTTCGGGCTTTGGTTTCTCTTTCTACAAGGAGATAATTTCTCCCTCCTATACATGTTTTTAAGGAAGGGGTGACTAGGCCTTGTGACTTTCGAAACTTAAGGTATCCTTAGTGGTTTGGAGTATTAGGAAATTCTCTAATCTGCATATAGCATTTATTTACTCTAAGTTTATATTTTGTTTTGTTCTACTTTTTATTTATTAAATATATTTGTAAGTCTTATTTATTTACATCTTGTTCCCAAAGAACCATAAGTGGAATGGCTCTGTTAGAGATACGATGATCTAAATTGTCACTTGTGAAACTTAATAAAAAGGAAAATTGAATAGAAGAATATCAAATTCCACTCACAATAATAAAATTTTCACTCACAATAATAAAATTTTCTCCCTTACACAGAAAATCCACTGAGTAGTGAGCTGGCGATCGTTGTTAAGTTTACGTCTTTGCCCCCATTAAAGAGTACATTTAATCTTGGAACACAGTCTCCGAAACTTGTTTTTATATGCCTCTCACTCCAACTACCTTAGCAGATTTACACTGGGCTGAGGTTGAACTCCTCTCAGTTGGAATCTGGGGTTATGTGACCACAGTCAAATTCCTAAAGAAATGGAAAGTTTCCCATGAGAGCGTCTCACTAAATTTTTCTCTCCCAGCGACTATTGTTGAGACTAGGTTTAGAGAAACTATAGATTGCTTCAAATTGATTCCAACTCCAGAGACAAGAATGCACTGGGTCTTTAACCAATATATACCCAGTAATATGTTCATTAGGAATGCTGTTGCCCTCGTGCTTGTTTCATTATGGTGGCAGAAAATGTCACCACAGCTCCAGAAATCACCTCTGTGTCTAAGGCAGAAAGGAGGACGGGGACCCTCTCCTCTTTCACTAGGAAGTGCTCTTCTTTCCCAGAATCCCTCTTGCAGACTTCCCTTGACATCTCATTGGTGGGAACTGGGTCACACGGATCACTCTCTGCCACGACTATGGCTGGGGAAGTATTTGACTTTCCATTCTTTATTGCAGGAGTCAGCAAACTGTTTCTATAATGATTAAGGTAGTAAATATCATAGGCTTTGCTGGCTGTTTGGTCTCTGTTACAGTGACCGCTCTGCCATTATACTGCCCAAGCATCCATAGATAATATACAAATGAATGTAACTGTCTTCTAATAAAACTTTGTGGATGTGGCCTGGCGCGGTGGCT